GAGGGATTATTCAGTGCGTGCATCTAACTACAATTAAATAACGAGATCCTCTCTTCAATAATTTTATTTGGCAGTCGCACCAAAGAACCGTCATTTGGCTCCTACATATCATACTCTCTTCTTTAGATATTAAAAGTAGATATGAAAGCTTTTTTCATTCGTTATAGAGGGTATCGCAGTATTATAGGTAAGCATTTCTAATTCCGTTAGTTCCGCGCTTTTTTTTTTATTCAGTTATAAGTATTATTTTTTGTAACGTCTAAAAAACATTTCAGTATAGAATTATCCTGGTATCAGTTTTTTTGCAAGTTGAAGACTAAGTCTTATACATTGTTATTATGGATAACTTTTCTTTGCAGAACGTCAAGCTGATTCGAGATTTTTCTATTTACCAGGAAAAATTTCCCTCCACGTAATAAAAAGACGTTAAACTATAGTTGCGAAAATTGACCCTTTTATAAAAAGATAATTATCTACATTTTATTTATTATGCGAAGAAATAATTATACATGTACATTTTATATTTTTCAAAAGAGACATAGTTACTTATTTTCTTTCCAATATATACAGGTCACGTTTGTAAGTTGCGTTTGTGATATTCTGCTTAAAGTCAATGGCCGTTTGGTATCGATATTATTAGGTGGTAAACTTAGTTCCTGCGGTTTTTTGTTTAAAAAACTCATTTATTTCGACATCAAAAGCAAAAAATACATTAATCGAAGTATTTTCCCTCGCTAGCTATACATTTTTCCCATCTTTCGGGCAACGCGTAGATTCCGCGACGATAGAACGATTGGTCTTTTGATGCAATCCATTCGTCGATCCATTTTCGCACATCCTCGTAATTTCTGAAGTGTGTATCCACCAAGCCGTGCTGCATCGACCGGAACAAGTAATAGTCCGAAGGAGCTAAGTCTGGTGAATACGCTGGGTGCGGGAGAACTTCCCACTCGAGCTGCATCAGTGTTTCTTTGACGGCTTTGACAACGTGTGGTCGAGCGTTGTCGTGCAAAAGCACTTTACGTCGATTGCTGGCTACTACTGCTGGCCTTTTTTCCAACAATGCTTCATTCAGACGGTTTAATTGTGATTGATATCGATCCCCCGTGATACTTTCGTTCGGTCTGAGTAGCTCATAATAAACGACGCCGTGCATATCCCACCAAATGCAAAGCATTGCTTTGTGGCCATGAATATTTCTCTTTGGTGTGGATGTCGATGGTTGGCCAGGGTCTACCCATGATTTTCTTCGTTTAGGATTATCGAAGTATATCCATTTTTCATCGCCAGTCACTATGCGCCACAAAAAACTCTTCTTTTTCTGCCTGGCGAGCAGAGAAATAGAGATGTTTAAGCGATTCGCAATGGCATTTGCGGTTAATTCGTGTGGTACCCATTTTCCCTCCTTTTGAATTTTTCCCATTGCATGTAGACGTTTGGAAACAGCCATCGGAGTAACATATAATGCTGCAGACAATTTTTGAAGCGTTTGGGTAGAGTTTTCGTCCAATAATGCTTGCAAATCGGTATCTTCAAACTTTATCGGTTGGCCTGAGCGTTCTTTATCATTGACATCAAAATCACCACTCTTAAATCGCTGAAACCATACTTGGCATGTTCTTTCCGATGGAGCATAATTGCCATAAGCTTCGAAAAGCAATTTATGAGCTGCAGCTGCAGTTTTTTTCAAGTCAAAGTAATGAAGCAGCACATGTCGAAAAAACAACTTATCACGTTCCATATTTAATCAAAAGAAAAAATAGCACTGCTCGCTTAAATGAATCTCTTCGCACTGAATTTTATTGACAAATGTCTAACCTCTAAAATGCAGCCAGTTTCAGATGTCAAAATAAATTACACCTACAACTAACGTCATCTAACTGTGAGCCGCAGGAACTAAGTTTACCACCTAATATATCAACGACAACTTATTCAATATTTGAAAATGCTGAGAGAACTTTCTTCTTGCATAACTCAAAATTAGACTAGCCTGCGAGATTTTCCTTGAAGTTGTCATGCGCGCATTGTTAATTCATTGATTTGCACGACTTGTCCTTTCAATTGAACTAGCACACAAGCGCTGCCAAGCTCTGCTCAAAGTGGAAAGCGGCTGCTGCGAACAGACAAGAAGGAGAAGCGGTGATCGTCACATCACTTTATATACTTCGAAACGCGAAAGTATAATATTATCTCAAGTTGAACTCTTCACGATGTTCATCAAGAAAACTACGAACACGACATAAACTACACATACGAATTGAATCGTTTTGTTTTTTCCTTTTTGGGTATCTGGCCGTACGTGCGGACAAATTTCTGGATTCTTCAGAAGCTACAAAGGGTCCCACTGTTTTTTGTATTCTACCTTCTTCTCTGTTCCGATTTAATTTCTACTCTCCTTTATATATTCATGGTGCAAAAGGAGACTCGTGCGAGGATTAAAGTCATCGCAGGTGTGTTATTCACGATTGTGTCACTCCTCAAGTATAGCAATTTTTTTTACCTGAAGAATCCAATGAAGAGTTGCATGATGTGTGTCGAGAAAGATTTTCAAAGTGTCATCAATCCAACTGCCCGTAACACGATGCTGTTCCACGTGAGAACCAGTAGACGTTTGTGCATTCTGTGCAGTATATTTATGTATGGTGCTGGGTTGACATATCGAACGCTCATACCGTTAACAAGAGGGAAGATTGTCACTGCTCAGAACATTACCATCAGACCCTTGCCAAATCCTGCTTACTATGTAG